GCGCGGGACTTCGAATCAGGGGGTAGCAAGTTTGAGTCCCACTGCAGTCAGCATGTCGTTGTGTCCCTGAGACACTTCACCCTAAATTGCTCCTGTGGGGATTGTCCACAGTACTGAATGTATGTCAGTCTAACAAGTAACATGTAATGTAAAATACCAGTAACTTCACTTCAATCAGTTTTTGAAAGAGCATCAATCCCAAGTGTTTAAGTGTTTATTTTAAAGGGGTACAATCATCCGTCATCATGCAAGATGTTCCCTTGCTCTCTCCCCGAGCTCTTTAATGGCCTCCGAGTGAGGAAAACACCATCTGACGTCCCTCTCCTCTCAGATCTTTAGAGTCTCCTCTCAGATCTTTAGAGTCTCCTCTCAGATCTTTAGAGTCTCCTCTCAGATCTTTAGAGTCTCCTCTCTGATCATTAGAGTCTCCTCTCAGATCTTTAGAGTCTCCTCTCAGATCTTTAGAGTCTCCTCAGATCTTTAGAGTCTCCTCTCAGATCTTTAGAGTCTCCTCTCAGATCTTTAGAGTCTCCTCTCTGATCTTTAGAGTCTCCTCTCAGATCATTAGAGTCTCCTCTCTGATCTTTAGAGTCTCCTCTCAGATCTTTAGAGTCTCCTCAGATCATTAGAGTCTCCTCTCAGATCTTTAGAGTCTCCTCTCAGATCTTTAGAGTCTCCTCTCAGATCTTTAGAGTCTCCTCTCAGATCTTTAGAGTCTCCTCTCAGATCTTTAGAGTCTCCTCTCAGATCATTAGAGTCTTCATCACCTCGTCTGGTTTCTCTTTCAGCCCGAGTATAAAGTGGCAGATCCCATCTGTACGTTCCTGTTCTCCATCTTCGTCCTCTTCACCACCATCACCATCCTCAGGGACGTCTTCAGGATACTCTTGGAAGGTACCTCACCTGGAGATCAATATTAACCGTGGGAAACGTTCCTTTGTTTTCTAATCTTTTTTAAATGTTTAGAGGAACATCGAGAACATTTGATCTTCCACTGAAGTCTATGTTAAGTGCCTGGATAAACATTCATTGGTTTGTCATCTTGCAATTTACTTATTTATCTAAATAGTTATCAGCGTAATAAACCGTATTGAATTTCATCTTACTGTACAATATTTAATTTCACATTCTGTTTTTGTATATCATATTGTATTTACGTGTATATAGACTTCTTGCACTATTTTTTATTTGTATTTCATTATATATGTTGCACTGTTGGAGGAGCTCGGGTCATAAGATGTTCATTACCATTTCTAAACTGTAGCTTTGTGCTTATGACATTAAAACCTTTGAGTTGAACTGAATGTGGATAAAGTTTTTAACACAATAGCCAACAAGTCAAGTGGTAGTTTACCGTCTGGAAGTTAAACACATCCACCTTCTACCAGCCTCCTTCAGCTTAATAATTAACCCAATATGTATTTTTGTAATCTCCACAAAAACTGTGTCACTACACCCCAACCAGGAAATGGTCCAGAGTGTTAACACCTTGAAACACACAAATATCAATAAGGTTTGATCAAGACATAAGACGTGAGGTTTACAGGTGCTGATAGGTGACTTTTGAAAAACTCTTAACAGAGCAAGTCTTTATGCTAAGCTAGGCTAGCCAGCACATGGATCAAAATGTGGAATTAAGCCTTTACGATGTCTCATAATCTGAAGGGTTATATATGAGCTGAACACATTAATGTTTTCTCGCCTGCAGACAAGATCAAGCTGTCCACTTTCAACCTAATCCCAGAAACTCAACATCATGTTTCTGTGCATTCATGACTATATTTGGCCGGCTTTTTTATTAAATGTAGGCAAGCAGGGCTCACCTAAGCTAACACACACATGCCACCAAGATTAAGCTCAATAAGTGCGGAGAATGTATGTGACACTTTCAGGTTTCTGCTTAACAAATAACAGACACAGATGGCCGTAACCCGGGGACGTCTAAAGACTTTTGGGACGTTTTTAAATCTCTTTTTACTTCACTGAACTTCCTCAAGACGACCCTCTGAAAGCAGCTCCCCCCTGAGGCCTCTTAACAACATTTAGTAACGACAGAAATGGCCTCTGGTGTTAATGAGCAACATTATGGGATAGAGAACAATCATTAATCTGAAATAATGTACTTCAGCCATAGCTATTTAGCCACATCTAAGTCCCATATCTATACAATACAATGTATTTCAGGTCTTTATGGGAAAGTAGATATATTTTTCCAATTGTTTTTATAGTTTTTCCACCACTTAGTGAAGGTTTAGTTACGCTCCCCTTCCTTTTATTATGAAAATCCAGACACTTATCAAACAGTGCCGTCCATATGTCTGATGTTCATACTTTAGGAGTTTTGTATGCGTGAGCTATATTTTTACTTTACGTATTCAACACCATATTATGGGATGTATTGTGTATTAATGTATGTTCTGCTTTTTCCCAGGCGCTCCTAAAGGCATCGAGTTTAACTCCGTGAAGGAGGTGCTGCTGTCGGTGAACAAGGTGAAGTCGATGCACTCTCTGCATCTCTGGGCTCTGACTCTGGGTCAGGCTCTGGTCTCTGTTCACCTGGCCATAGGTAACACCTCTCACCGATATACCTTTACATATTAGAGAGCACTGAGAAACTAGAATTCAGCATAATGAAATAACAGTTGAAGCGATTTTAGGAAATGATGGTCTCGACACAGGGGGTTGTAAGGGATTTTGGAGTAAAAGGTGCAAACATATCATTTACCAAAGCACTTCAAACCTGACGATATACAGTATAATTAAGATTTATTAACGGGAGAGGCCTATAAAGTATGACATTTGGTCTCAATAAAACAAAAACGATTAGTCGATTACTATTTTCTGAGTTTCATTTTATTCATTAATATACATTTCAAAATGTTCTTTTAATATTTCAAATTTCTCTCATTGTTTTTTGAACTTTTACAAAACAAACAATGATGAAGAAAATAATTAATAAATCCATTATGAAAAAAATCTATTGGTAACCACCTTAACCAACTACTAACAGTAACATATTACTTTGATATTAATGCAAGAGTAATACTAATCTAATCATAATAATACATCATTGTATAATAGTCACAGTGGACTTTTAACTTAAACTTTTAATACTTTACCTACAGTACACTTTCCTGATGATACTTGCCTTCTTTAAAGTGACATTTCATTAAAAGGGTTTTACTTACAACGTTTAGTATGACTACATGTTCTCTAAAAGGCAAACACAAAAGTCAAAATGTGATAACCGTAGTAAATCACTCACTGTTGTTGTTGTTGTTTTCCTCTCCCCCCTCAGAGGAAGGTGCTGACGCCCAGTCGGTGCTGCAGGAAGCCACCGAGCTGCTGAACACTAAGTTTGGTTTCCACAGCATCACAATCCAGGTGGAGCTCCACTCAGAGGAGATGAACCACTGCTGCCACTGCCAGGACCCCCAAGACTGACCCCCCCCCAACCAGTACACACATCCTTCACTCAAGTAGAAGTACAGATACTCGTGTTTAAAAATACTCTGGTGAAAGTAGAAGGACTGACTAAACTTCTTTACTCAAGTCAAAGTAAAGAGGCTTTGAAATGTCCTCAGTAAAAAGTACCCATAACTAGCAGCTGTTTTAAAGAGTACCTGACCTCCCTTTATATTAATAGAACAATAATGTCATTGTTAGCTAATGAATGTTTCCATGCTGAACAACGGCAACATGACAACGTTTTCATTGGTCCCTCTTCTTTAGAGAAGACCAGGAAATGATGGATACACGGATCGTGTTCAAATCAATAGGCACGCAATGACTCTAAATAATAATGATCACGCCACCAAACACACATTCAGACGTGATGGATTGTCAGGGGACATATTTAACTAGGTTTCTACTACGTTGTGTTGTGTTTAACTGTTCTTTGTTTGTGCGTTGTTTCCGGAATTACTCAATCACACTTCCGACAACCACCGAAAATCTTTGTTAGTTATGAGGAAAACCGAGTTAAACGACTTTCCTACGATGAGAAGAAACCGAACTACACTATATTTGATTTGTTTGTCATGTCATGACATCTTCAGAAAACCAGTTCAGTTGTAACACTACAAATTTCCCTCCTCGTCTTGTCACTTCAGTTAACAGCAACCATAATTACTGGTACTCACTCCCAATCTCGACCTCGCACTTACCTTTATGTTTACGACAATAATTAACTACACTCATTAAACTTATGCTAAAAGTCTTGCTGAAGATTAAGCTATTTCGTTTCAAGATATCTGAACAAACGGGTATTTATTTAGATAAGTCGGTAAAAAACATCTTTTTTACTGTTTGCAAAATTGCTTGGGAAAACACTTTATAAAGTCTTATAGCAATCTTACATACCATTAACACCAGCTAACATTTACGATGACTTCATCCTCATACTGTTTTGTCGGGATTTTTCTATACGTAAAACATTAAGGTTAAGGGAAACATTTTTGATGTCCCTCTACACAATATTTTACCTCAAATCAAAACACTGTAACGAACACATTTATTACGTTACTGCGGTAGTTACTTCGTTTTCAACGGGATTTAGAAGTTTACCTGGTTATGACTATTTTTTGTAGGACATCATCAGGGAGCGGAACTTACCTGTTACACACCAACATTAATAGTCTCCACCCTTCGTCACCCTCATATTATGTTTTGAAACAAAGACTTGAATTCATGTACAAAGCATAGTCATGAAATGTGGTGGGGTGAATAAAAAGGACTTACTGAAAAATGAAACTGAAGAATCTAAAAATTGGGTTTATGGACATGAAAGATGAAGAATGTACAACTTGGGTTTATGGACATTGAAAGATGAAGAGAGTAAAAAGGTTTGTCCGGA